CTTTTTTTGACCCCCGAAAAAAAATTGTCTCAGATCGACCCGGAAAAAAATGTTCTTATAGAATGTGGCGTGTAGAATCCATAATTTCAAACAGTTCCAAGATTGGGCTACTAGTTCAAAAGTTACAGCCCTTTGAATTTTCTTTTGAAATTGGTTTCTAGTCTATAACTTTTGATTGAGAAGTCTGATCGAAAAAGTACGAATTGTTTTGGATTCTACGCACCAAAATTAATAAGAAAAAGGGTTTTCCCGAGAAATTTTGGTGTAGTCAATTTTTGGTAAAAAAGGAAGGTTATACACTGCCTTTTTTTGAGGCCCGAAAAAAAAATTGTCTCAGATTGACCCGGAAAAAAAATTTTCTTATAGAATGTGGCCTGTAGAATCCATAATTTCAAACAGTTCCAAGATTGGGCTACCAGTTCAAAAGTTACAGCCCTTTGAATTTTCTTTCGAAATTGGTTTCTAGTCTATTACTTTTGATTGAGAAGTCTGATCGAAAAAATACGAATCGTTTTGGATTCTACGCACCAAAATTAATCAGAAAAAGTGTATTCCCGAGAAATTTTGGTGCAGTCGATTTTTGGTCAAAAAGGAAGGTTAAACACTGCCTTTTTTTGAGGCTCGAAAAAAAAAAAGAAATTTTCTTATAGAATGTGGCCTGAAGAATCCATAATTTCAAACAGTTCCAAGATTGGGTTACTAGTTCAAAAGTTACAGTCCTTTGAATTTTCTTTCGAAATTGGTTTCTAGTCTATAACTTTTGATCGAGAAGTCTGATCGAAAAAGTACGAATTGTTTTGGATTCTACGCACCAAAATTAATAAGAAAAAGTGTTTTCCCGAGAAATTTTGATGCAGTCGATTTTTGGTAAAAGTATTCAAATACTATGCGAAGTATTCGAATACTTCTCAAAGTATTCGAATACCTTGCGAAGTATTCGAATACGCAGAAAAGTTAGGCGTCGGTCAGTTGATTTCAATGGGTTTACCAGGGCACGTTATAGTCTTTACCTATATCAAATAAAAGCGCACTTTAAACGTATGACTTATAAGAAACATTTACTGTAAAATACCGTTTGCTATTACTATCACTTTGCAGTTAAAATTAGGAATACCCATATGGATGGAAGACGGCCAGACGACCGAGAAGTTCTGAAGGTCTGCGCTTCTTAGTAACGCAAATACCGTAAAACGGGGTGTAGTCGACCAGTTGGGGTGGAGAAAACAGTTCCCCGCCCATCTCTTATTTTCAAAACTTTAAAACTTGTCACCGCTAGAGGCAAGCGTACGCAAATTCTGTCACATGTAAAAGTTATGCACGTTTTACATAAAAAAAACAGCATCGCAGCACATAATAAAGGGGGGGGGGGGCTCTTTCAAGCAGTGAAATTTGATGGCCGTCTGGCACACCCTCAAGGTATAGGCTACATTGTAAAAAATTCCAGGACTCTAGAACCATTCCCCTAAAAGTACTTCAAAACCGCAAAAGTGGGTCCGGACGGACAAACAGACGGACGGACGCAAACTATAGCACATTTTTTAAATTCTTAATAAATGCGTTAAAAAATATACCTAGAGAGTAACACCCGGTATACCCAAATGCAGTGTTATCAAAATTAATGTTTATGTTGACCTTCGTGGACTGAAACAGTATACGGGGGCAATTTAAACACCCACGATGTAGTAAATGTTATTATTATGATCTAGACAGTGCAAAGTATAATTGCTCGACAAAATATCGACATTTGTGCTAGGCATGCGTATGGTGCGTTGTTGAATGTGCAATTTATCTGGACGTTACATTCATAAAATGGTGAGGGTAGTATTTTCCGTGATCGCAATCTTTGCCTTCACTTATTGTGATGGTCAAGTACGTTACGATCCGACATGGGAAAGCTTAGATAAGAGACCTCTTCCTCAGTGGTTTGACGAGGCGAAATTCGGTATCTTCTTACATTGGGGCGTCTACTCCGTGCCCAGCTTTGGCTCTGAATGGTTTTGGAGTAATTGGAAGAGTAAGAGACATTTGTCTAGATTTAATTTTTAAATGACACTTATTTTCCAGGTGGAAATAAAGACATTGTTTCGTTTATGAAAAAGAATTACCCGCCGAATTTCACCTACCAAGATTTCGCGAAGGATTTTTCCGCGCAGCTCTTTGATCCGAACGCGTGGGCGAAACTGTTTGTTCGGGCAGGTGCCAAGTAAGACTTTCGTAGGATGGGTGCGGTAACTAACTGAGGGATTCTGCAGGTACGTCGTACTGACAAGCAAGCATCATGAAGGGTACACGCTTTGGCCGTCTAAGTATTCATTCAGCTGGAATGTTCGAGATGTGGGTCCCAATCGAAATTTACTAGGCGAGTATAATAAAATCGTCCTTTAATTTTTTTGCACGATCGGGTTTCCTACCACCAGTGTACTTAATCATGCAAAAAATCTTCCAAAACTTGCCCTCAACCTAACTACCCTTATCACACAATTAGGTGAACTGGCGGCCGCTGTTAGGACCACCAACGTCAGATTTGGCGTGTATCACTCTCTGTACGAGTGGTATAATCCCCTTTACTTGTCTGATAAAGGGTCGAACTTCACCAAGAACAATTTTGTTTCACAAAAGGTTATACCAGAAATGATGGAGTTGGTGCAAGACTACACGCCCGACGTCATTTGGTCGGATGGCGACTGGGAAGCGAATGACACCTACTGGAAGTCGACTGAGTTTTTGGCGTGGTTGTACAACGAAAGTCCCGTGAAGGATACGGTAGTTGTTAACGACCGGTGGGGGAAGGGGATACCATGTCGCCATG